TGAGTGTCTTCAAAGTTTGTTCAAATAAAAGCCCTAGGGATGTCATTGCTTTTAACTATATGTGTATAGTAAAAACTTAAAAAATCTTTTTTTTAAAAACTCAACGAGCTAGACCTTAGATGTTTAGCATGAAACTGGCCTCGCTCTGTGGGCCTATATACAGGTGAGCGACTTCAGGGCCATCATGGCCCTCTTGTTTACAATTAACGTTTGGCGGCAATAAGCGATAACATAATAAGGGACAATTACACAAGTGTGGTGTTGATCATGCGTTACACATATGGATTATAAATGATTGTATATATGTATATCCGTATATATGTATATCCGTTGCTCGCCCATATGGTCTGTTTCCAGTGGCGAGGGTAAACAATCGCAAACACACAAAATCCGTTGCTATTAATAACCACGGTCATAAAGAAATAACAAGTAATATTCTAATCTCTAGCATGTCAATCAAAGTTCATAATGAACAATGTCTTTCGTCCGCTCATTCATAAGTGATATACAATTCTGGTATAAACCATTGAAAAGTTTATAAGAATATCTTGTCATCATATGTCTACTAGTTCATCTTCACTTGCTGCATTTCTTGCTTGGACGCCCTTTGATGCTTTGCATCAATGCTTTTCTTGTTTCTATCGTAATAACTAAATCTGTATCCAGAACATCGTGTTGCAGTGCAAACAATGACCAAAATGATATAAAATTTCAATGCACTAGTGGCTATCTAAACTAGGACATGAATGTATCAATGGGTTTATGGCACAGTAACGTTCGTGCATGTAAACTACGAGTAGTAGTACAACAATATTTGTTTCTCACAACAACAGCCTATAATTATACCCCCGCACAACAAAGTTGTAAGGGGGGTATACTGGAATCAGCTTGTCCGTCCGTCTGTCCGGCCGTCCGTCCGGCTGTCCGTCGGTTTTTTCTTGTCCGCCCAATAACTTAAGATTCCTTTGACCCTTAGTCTTCATATTTGGCATGGAGGTAAGTCATGATTAGAAGATGACCCCTATTGATTTTGAGGTCACCAGGTCAAAGGTCAAGGTCACAGGGGCCTTGACTTCAAAAAGCTTGTCCGCCCAATAACTTAAGATTCCTTTGACCTACAGTCTTCATATTTGGCATGGAGGTTAGTCATGATTAGTAGATGACCCCTAATGACTTTGAGGTCACCAGGTCAAAGGTCAAGGTCACAGGGACCTTGACTTCAAAAAGCTTGTCCGCCCTATAACTTAAGATTCCTTTGACCTACAGTCGTCATATTTGGAATGGAGGTTAGTCATGATTAGTAGATGACCCCTATTGATTTTGAGGTCACCAGGTCAAAGGTCAAGGTCAAAGGGGCCTTGACTTCATAACGCTTGTCCGCCCAATAACTTAAGATTCCTTTGACCCACAGTCTTCATATTTGGCATGGAGGTTAGTCATGATCAGTAGATGACCCCTATTGATTTTGAGGTCACCAGGTCAAAGGTCAAGGTCACAGGGGCCTTGACTTCAAAAAGCTTGTCCGCCCTATACCTTAAGATTCCTTTGACCCATAGTCTTGATATTTGGCATGGAGGTTTGTCATGATTAGTAGATGACCCCTATTGATTTTGAGGTCACCAGGTCAAAGGTCAAGGTCACAGGGCCTTGACTCCAAAAAGCTTGTCCGCCCAATAACTTAAGATTCCTTTGACCCACAGTCTTCATATTTGGAATGGAGGTTAGTCATGATTAGTAGATGACCCCTATTGATTTTGAGGTCAAAGGTCAAAGTCACAGGGACTTTGACTTCAAAAAGTTTGTCTGCCCAATAACTTTAGATTCCTTTGACCCACAGTCTTCATATTTGGCATTGATGTTGATCATGATTAGTAGATGACCCCTTTTGATTTTGAGGTCACTGGGTCAAAGGTCAAGGTCATAGGGACTTTGACTTCAAAAAGTTTGTCCACCCATTAACTTAAGATTCCTTTGACCCACAGTCTTCATATTTGGCATGGATGTTGATCATGACTATAAGGTGACCCATATTGATTTTGAGGTCACTGGGTCAAAGGTCAAGGTCACAGGGACCTTGACAAAAAAAAGCTTTTCTTCTCAACTGTTAAAGAATGTCCTGTCCGCAATGTATTGATTTTGACATTTTCACATTTGAAGCATGTAGAATACATAACTTAGCAATGCACTGGCTTAGTAACCTCAGATTTGGCAGGGAGGTTGTCCTTGAGCTCTAAATGGCCACCGTTGATTCTGACAAAGTGGTATGCGGGGGTATTCACGCCATGATAGTGGCAGTTCTAGTTTCACCAAACTCCAATAGTATACAATAGGATTTACAATATTTCAATGTTGTTAATTTGAAGAAAATGTTTGAATCATTGACAAGTCTCCTGCCGAAACAGTATGCATTTTCTGTTTCAGTCTGGACCTTCATTTCGAGTAATCTTTCATAGATTGACCACTGATGTTATAATTCTGCATTTTTTTCTTCTGTAAAATATATATCTGCACAAATGGCATAATGTCAATAAAGGCTTTCTGTATTAATAGTCTTACACTTTCCATTTCATTTTGAAAATCTTTTTTTTTTCTGTCTACGACTTGCCTCATGTAGGTAATGCTTCTTGCTGCTCTGGTAATATTTGATGCATGTAGTAACATGGTTTATTGAAGAAAACAACAAAAAGGTTTTGACATCCTTAACTGCTTTGCAATATGATCTTTCCCCCAGAGTTATGACCTGTGAGAACATCAGAACATCTCCAAAATATATCTTTCCATAATTTTTAATTTCATAGAATCTTCATAAACATACATAAACTTGAATTTTTGATGGAAATTCAATTAAATTCAAGGGGTAATATATACATTTATTTTATAATTAATGAAAAATAAAAAATGATAAATATACCATTTGTCACTTTAAGAGATACAGTAAATTGCAATAAAACCATGCCATCTCTTTTTAAAAGTAAAAGCTTGTCAAATATTTAAACATATTATTGTTTCTGAAACTTGAAATCGATATCGATTGCTGCAGATTAAAAAAATACGCCGATATGACAGTAACTTGATTACAAAGGTAGCACGTGGTAGTAGATTAAAATTAAACAATAATGTTACGCTGGATACATGATATAAAAACTCTACATAAATAACATTCCAGGTTTCATTTTGAAAATGAAAACTTTTTTTGTATCAGGTAGTCTGTTTCCTAATGAGATTTTCACAATAGCTTATGCCCTAAAACGCAAGAGAGAGAAAACTGAATATACAAACATTTCAATTTTGTTGGGACCATTAATCCGAATAATTCATGAGCATACAAAAATATGTTATTATCACACACATTTCGATAAACGTAATGTTTTAACAAAGTAGATACGGTAGAACAATGATATATTAGTGTCCATTTTAATGCCCCGATAGTGCCAATTTTGATGCCCCGATAGTGTCAATTTTAATGCCCCGATAGTGTCAATTTTAATGCCCCGATCGTAACAGAGTTGTGTGGATTTTGATTAACAGCAACCAATAGTTATTTTAAATGATAGTCTTTAATTAAGCAGGGACTTTTCGATACCGCATCTAATTGCTTTTAGGGGTTAAAGATCCCGTATGTTGTAATTAAGTGAATTTTATATATGTATATAATTATGCTTATAAAATCATGATTAACAAATATCTTATTACCTCCCTTTATTTACATGAAATGTTAGATTCTGTAATATGTTATAAATAATGCTTTTTAGCTCGACTATTCGCAGAATAATCGAGCTAATGCAGTCACCCATTTGTCGGCGTCGGTGTCGGCGTCCCTGTGGTTAAGTTTTTGCGTGCAAGCTGGTATCTCCATAACTACTGAAGGGAATGGATTAAAACTTCACACACTTGTTCTCTGTGATTATCTAACATGATTGGCACAAGTCCCATAACTCTGATTTGCTTTTTTACATAATTATGCCCCTTTTTCGACTTAGAAATTCTTGGTTAAGTTTTTGCTTGCAAGCTGGTATCTCCATAACTACTGAAGGGAATGGATTGAAACTTCACACACTTGTTCTCTATGATTATCTAACATGATTGGCACAAGTCCCATAACTCTGATTTTCTTTTTTGCATAATTATGCCCCTTTTTCGACTTAGAAATTCTTGGTTAAGTTTTTGCGTGCAAGCTGGTATCTCCATAACTACTGAAGGGAATGGCTTTAAACTTCACACACTTGTTCCTTGTGATTATCTAACATGATTGGTACAATTCCAATAACTCTGGTTTGCTTTTTTACATAATTATGCCCCTTTTTCGACTTAGAAATTCTTGGTTAAGTTTTTTTGCGTACAAGCTGGTATCTCCATAACTACTGAAGGGAATGGCTTTAAACTTCACACACTTGTTCTCTGTGATTATCTAACATGATTGGCACAAGTCCAATAACTCTGATTTGCTTTTTTGCATAATTATGCCCCTTTTTCTACTTAGAAATTCTTGGTTAAGCAAATATCTCCATAACTACTGAAGGGTTTGTGCCTTTTTTGAACAATTTTATGCATTTTATACATGTTATAATAATAAAGCACTGATTTACTCGATAAAACATCTTAATAACAAGCTTTTGTACCTTTTTGGACAATTTTTTCATATAGGTAAGCAGAAACACACTTGTGACAACTTTTCGAATAGTCGAGCGTTACTGTCCTCCGACAGTTCTTGTTGGAACTTACAATATTAATAAATCCTAATTTAAGCATCATATTTATGATATAAAACCATAAAAAATTGTGTTACAAGATCTTTAAATTGAATGTTATTTTAACACATTTGTAGTCTATAAATACAAAGTGTTTTTAAGTTTGCGCTGAACAAAAGTTCATGTCAAGGGATGGCTTACCGCACGTTGCCAGACAATTATTATTACAGGAATGTTTCTGAGGTCAACTTGTAGTTAACGTTTGAATAATACTGTGGTTCCTGGTTTTTTCATTGTTCCTATAAACACAGGTACAACTATGACACAAGAGCTTGTCTACCATATAATGACACTGGATTTTGACACGGCTAAAACAGTGCCGCAGGAGAAACGCTTTCCTCAGTTACTAGAACATGCAGAGGTTAATAACGGAATAACTATGTTTAAAGGTACGTGCGTGGAAGCGTGCTGCTCATTTGTTTCTAACTGGGTTATGTTTGTATGAAATAATGAAGTAGGGTCTTACGTTCTTTAACATTATCTCAACATGATTTAAAATAACTATGTAGCTATAAGCAAGAAGCACTATGTGTATCAGCGAAAACAAGGAACTGATTTAAGTAAACACACATTTGATGTAAATATCTGAAGTGAAATTGATTCTCTCTATACATAAATCTCATATATATTATATCGATTGCATTCTTTATAAGTTATAACTATATAATTCAAATGTAAAAGAAGCACACGTTATATGTAAAAAAGACCGGCATAAGTGAAAAGAATGGGAATTATGAAATACTCATCATGATTTCAGAGTTCACAGGATTACAAAATCACGAGAGGCGAGCATCACCAAGAATGATTAAGTCACATTTGCATTATTCGCTACTTCCGGAACAATTGCGTAACGGAAAAGGAAAGGTGACATCTATATTTTTTCACATCAAAACTATAATGCTGACGAATAAAATGTCTGGCGTTATAATAATAACTATTCCTCCGTCACACACGCATGGCGATATAACGGCGACTTACAAAATTAAAGAATAAACAAATGCCTATTTCAGGACGTCGTCAAACCGGCGTCATGCTTTGTGCGTTTACACAACGTTCTTATTTAGCGTTCCTATGGTGTTCTTACGGACTTGATATGCGACATTATGTTCTTAGGGTATGTACTAGGACTTTGTGGCGACTTTTGCGGTTATGTGGCGTCCTCACAGAGACAACAAGAAAGTCCTTGAAACAACATAGTCGTATTTAAACTACCTGGTCACACTGCAAACGCTCTAGGATCGCCATGAATTCGTCATTCGTATGTCAAGACAATTTATGTGCGTTAACAGTGAAAAATATACGGTATCTACATAGTGTCAATATAAAAACCCGGTGTTTTCAGAACAGTACTGGTTATGGTCGCCGTAAGAACGCCACAATTTACTGACCAGTTTTGTTACTGTTTGTCCTAGCAAACGACTAAACGGAAAAGGTCAAATTTTATTTGGATTGGATAATAATGTAATACTTATAATAAATATTCCCAAACACAATTGCGGAATAACACTCTTTTTATTTCAAGTGTTTTTGGGCTATTTCTTACACATAATATGTAAGCCTGTCGGCTTTTACGAAAACGTAAAATATGTATTAATTTGCCTATTCTTACAAATTCGCGTAAGTAATAAAGAAATCGGATGCTCAATGCATGACTATCATTTCTCTTGAGTGGAGTCATTTTTTCTATTTATAATATCAAAATATCCAAGTAGTAACCATGTCTTTAATAGGAACGGGATTGCTTGATATAGTGTTATATTAAAACTGAACGTATTGTTTAAGCGCAAAGTAAATGAAACTTAAAATAGAAAATAGAATATTAATTGCTGGGTATATCGCGAACTGAAATTGTTGTTAACTGACGTCGTCGAAAAAAAAGCAGGTAACGTTGTCAAAACTTTGTCAATTGGTGTCTGCGAATTAGATGAATTATTTATAAATTATCATTACAAAGTTCTGTTTTTTAAGCTTACATATACGAATTTATAAGACAATGTAATTTGATGCTGTACAAATATTTCTGTCAAATACGTTTTTGTTTCTTTAACAGATTGTATATATCTGTCGCAATCCAAAGGACGTCGTTATTTCGTATTATCGATTTATGGATTATGCGAAGATGCTGGAGGAGGAATTTTCTACATTTGACGATTTCGTCCATTGTTTCGTTAAAGGCATTAGTAAGTTATTAAAAATGCGATTTGATTTTTTCTTTGTTAGAATTTCTTTTTTTTTAATCACATTGTTTTATTACATAACAGACATTGATTTCGATGCCGTACAGTTAACAAAATACTTCTTGTGTGCTATACAGTTTTATTTGATTACACCGAAAATCAATACGTGCTATATTTAGGAGCATGGTGAAGGTCATTTCACCGATCCACATGTATTAACTTATAAAAATTGTTGTCTGGTTTGATATATTATGGTAAAATATTTGCGAGAATGTTAATATTTTTTTTCAATAATGAAATGTTTTGGTGAATTTGTAAAACATGCACTGGTAAAGGTTCAATTTTAGTTATAAAAACTAATTATCTTTTAATTTAACGTTTTCTTGTAGATATTGTATTAAGAATAATCGCGTAATATTGTCAAAAATACTACAAACTATGACATGACGTTGTAATATGACGCTCACTTAACTCTGCACACATTTCAATATAAAGAACGGGCATCAAAAGTCTATATTGAACAAGATTTGCAACAGTGTGAAATGATTTTTAGTTTAATATCTCATTGAAAACACATTAAGATAAATTAATTTCAATCTCATAGAACTTTACCGATGTCCATGGCAAAGACATGTGCAAGAATATTGGGAACATAAAAATGACAGCAATGTACTTTTTCTACAGTATGAAGTTGTTGTGGAGGTAAAACACTGAAAAATTCTTATATGTTGATCTCCCCTGGATCTTATACTGGGATCTCCGCTAGTTCTTATAGGGTGATCTCCCCTAGATCTTATACGCTGATCTACCCTAGATCTTATACGCTGATCTCCCCTAGATCTTATACTAGGATCTACCCTAGATCTTATACTGGGATCTCCCCTAGATCTTATACTGGGATATCCCCTAGATCTTATATTGGGATCTCCGCTAGTTCTTATAGGGTGATCTCCCCTAGATCTTATAGGGTGATCTCCCCTAGATCTTATATGGTGATCTACCCTAGATCTTATACTAGGATCTACCCAGATCTTATACTGGGATCTCCCCTAGATCTTATACTGGGATCTCCCCTAGATCTTTTACTAGGATCTCCCCTAGATCTTATACTGGGATCTCCCCTAGATCTTATACTAGGATCTACCCTAGATCTTATGCTGGGATCTCCCCTAGATCTTATACTGGGATCTCCGCTAGTTCTTAAAGGGTGATCTCCCCTAGATCTTATACGCTGATCTCCCCTAGATCTTATACTAGGATCTACCCTAGATCTTATACTGGGATCTCCCCTAGATCTTATACTGGGAGATCCCCTAGATCTTATACTGGGATCTCCGCTAGTTCTTATAGGGTGATCTCCCCTAGATCTTATAGGGTGATCTCCCCTAGATCTTATATGGTGATCTACCCTAGATCTTATAGGGTGATCTACCCTAGATTCTTATACTGGGATCTCCGCTAGTTCTTATAGGGTGATCTCCCCTAGATCTTATAGGGTGATCTCCCCTAGATCTTATATGGTGATCTACCCTAGATCTTATAGGGTGATCTACCCTAGATCTTATACTGGGATCTCCGCTAGTTCTTATAGGGTGATCTCACCTAGATCTTATATGGTGATCTATCCTAGATCTTATACGCTGATCTACCCTAGATCTTTTATATTAAATATTACTAGACTTTACTTGTTCATTGAAGTTTGTATAAGGCTGAGAAATACACAGTTCTGTTATCTGTTGTTTCAAAATTATGCATACCGATACTTTGTTTTATTTCCAATTATTTTCTTTATTTTATTTAATGCAATTATACAATAATATAGTTTACATTAGTTAACAAATATAGTGACTTTGCGTTACAATTTTTATCTCTATCCTTTAGCTTTACATTGAAACTCGATTTGTATAACATCAGAACACAACTAATTTGCTAGAATCTCGCTATATAGGGACACGGCATGACTGAATTTACTTATTCTTTATTGTATGTGAACAGGATATGGTTGCTGCCATAAAGCGTATGGCAAATTTTCTAGGGCGTCATTTGAAAGAGGAGGACATTTTAAAGATTGCTGAGAGTTGTCATGTCGATACAATGCGCAGTAATCCAATGGTTAATTATGACTGTTATAAAGATATCAAAGATTTGAACCCAAATGCTGATGGCGTTTTTATCAACAAAGGTGCGTATAGATATTTAAGCAATGCAAAACCTCCGACATACTTAAACAATTCTATACAAAGGTGTGAAACAAACAGTTTGTTGCCTGGAGTTAGGAAAATTGTTATATTGTTTCCAATCGGTCCGATTTAGTTCAAATGCAACGAACCATATGTTTTGCAACTTCCAAAATCCAATATCATGACATACATTTTGAGGACCCTATTATACATTTTATGAATAAGATGCATACAATGTGTTCTATCCAAATTATAAATCATGTAAAGAGACTGAAAATAAAAACTTTAGGAACTGGTAATAATTTGCAAGTTCTTCAGGGTATAGCTAAAATACTGTATGTAACAAACTAGGGTAAAATTGCTAATTTGGCATTTGAGGTAGAGTGAAATTGAATCCTCAAAGAAGCCCCAAAAAGGCTTATTTGAAAATGTTGTAAGCCAAAGTAAGCCATTAAAATTGTAACTACTTTGAAATAATAAATATTGGTCCAAAAGTTTCTTTACCAAAAAAGGTTTCGATGGTCTAAGTCTACTCCTCCATTTAAAACATGAGACACGAAGAAAGCTGCAGACTTTGCACTTGAATTCATAATTGTACTATCTAAATCACCTGTTAACGGCACTGATTGATGGAATTATTCCTTACTGTACTTTTTTATGTGTTGTTGTTTACGTCGGTTACACTTTACATTTTCAAAAATTAAACCTGGCAACAAGAAAAAAGTATAAATGCCAAATAACCCTCATAATTATGTTGTGAAGAAGGCCATGCTTTATTTTGATATATTTTCTTTTGTTCCAGGTAAACCCGGTGTCTGGAGAGATCGTCTTACACTGGAACAGAGCCAGAAAATTGATACAATGATTGACGAAGTAGGAAAGTTTGGCTTAAAATTCAGACATAGCACTTAATGATATGGTAGACATCTATACCTGCTATATGAATTGCAATTCAAAGATTTTACTGTAATGAATCGATTGATAGATATAGTGATATACAGTGCATGGAGATTTTATATAAAAAATGTCTAAATGTCTTTAATAACTGAAAATATTATCTGTAGTATAAAGCAATTTAAGGAAACATATTATATGTTGTTTTTTTTTTTTGCAAAAGCAAAGAGGACATAATATTATTTTATCATCATCATAATTGTTTACTGACTTGCAATTTAAAAAAGTTACAGTTTCAGTAGTTGTTTGTTAAAAACATTTAAAACACACTTTTTAAAACTACTCTTCGAAGAGCTAAACTAATTAGTAACCTACTGTCATTTTTATGTGTTCTCTTACAAGGAAAACTAAACAATAGAGAACTACTTTATTGTGCATATCAGAGTAGCTTCCCTTTGATGTTTATCCGTAAATAAATTATTCTATAATGAGACATTATCATATATATGTGTATATTTGTTTAGTTTCATTTTTTCTATTTTCATAATCAATAGTTGCATGAAAAGTATATTGTAGTATGGATTTTAGAATAATTAATATTAGATAATTAATATTAATAAATAAATATTGATACAAACATTTTAACATGTGAATCTGAAGTGAATATTTTAAAAATACAGAAAATAATAATTTGTCTTAATATATATTTATATAATCTTTTTTATAATGAAATTGTTTCTAATATACATGTGTATAAGTGATAGTCATGTTTACTTTTCTGCTGCATATTTATCAGGAGCAAATGTTAGAATTAGCCAAATGAATCTTAACGTTTGTGTCTGTGTGCGCGTGGGTTGGTGTGTGCGAGTGTGCGTGATATGAGTTTTCTACATGATTTTCATTTGTATGATATAATTACATTTGTTCAATAGAATACCCTTATTTTGAAAAACATATGCTAATCATTCCGAAACCCTTCAAAAGTTTGTATTTCAAATTTCGTCCCGTTTATTTAACTTGACATTGATATTGCCAAAAACACAGTCTTAACAGCCCTAGTTAGACGTAAACAGGAATTAATTTTCAATCGATTCAAAGAAGGAAGTTTTTTGTCAAATTCCCCTGGAAATAAATTGTAAAATTAATTGAAACAAAAAACTTAACATTATGTTAGATAATGTGACATTTCTATTTGTTTTAGTAATTAAAGCCGTTTTTTAACTAGTTTTTGTAGTTTCTTGCAAAAAATTTTGCAGTTTTTATTGCATCGATGAATATATTCCATTTGTTTGTAACATTTTCGGCTAATAAGAATAATCGTATAATGATTAATAAAATATACATAATATATTTGAAGTATCTGAATTGATATAAGATGCCAGTGGAGAAATGTAGAAATTGGTGTTCACTGCCCTTGACAAACATTGTTAATTGTTGTTGAACGAATATTTCTGACTAAAGATTTCTAAATATATCGTTTTTTATAAACGTTGAAATCATTCGTCAAAAAACTGCGTTGAAACCAACCACAATGAAAGTGAATATTCAAAATTGACTTCTTTAGAACGTACACTTTATGCCTTCTTGTTAACTGTTCCCTGTTAATTCTACAATTCTTATGGATCGCTATGTTGTCGAAAAATTAACTCGTAGAAAATAAATAACCAAAAAATATGATCATTTTATGACGTGGCACATGTACATGAAATCATAATTTAAAAAAAAAATTTTTAATTTTAAAAAAAAATTTTTCTTTGGATTTTGCGAATTGAGTTATTTTTAAATACTCTTTAATAAGACCACAATTTATATAGTTATCTTTTCAGGGGAAAAAGATTTGCAAAAAACAACAATTTTTGTTTTAATTTAAATCCAAATTTTTTGGAAAACTCAATTTTAAAAAAAAAGGAAAAATTTAAACCGAAACAAAACCCGGAAAAATTTTTGTTTAAAAAAAATTTTAGTCTTAATTATTTCGTTTTTAAAATGCCATGAGATACTTTGCTTAATCAGTTTTTATATTAATTAACAAAATCGTTTTAAGTAAAGTTACCCTTTCACCATGTCTTTTGAAACACCTAATTGTCATAAAACATACTCATTGAAGTCGGGGGCCCCTTTTTTAATTTAATTTTATAATTAAAGTAAAAAAAGACACAAAAATTTGCTTAAAAAAATTTAATTTAGTGCTGCTAAAATGAACATCTTTATTATTTTATTCAATCTGTATTTATCTTTATAAAAGCTTATTTTCCCCTTTTAGGGGTTTGCATACCTTTGAATAAAAAAAACCGGGGAACCTTGTCCGGCGGTTTATTGGCCTTTTTTTATTTTTGAAAAAAATTGCGGGTTGAGGAGATTTAATTTTTTAAAAATTAAAAAGGTTTTTTTAAAATATCCCTTTTGGGGATTCTAAAATTTTCGTGAATTGTTTTAGGGTTTTTTGTTGGGGTCAAACCATTGTTTGGGAAAAACTTTAATTTTTTTATTCAAAAAACCCCCCTTTTTTGTTTTTTAAAACGTTTCCCGCCCCAAATTTTCAGGACTTTTTTCCCTTTTTAAAACAAATCCCCTCGTTAAAAATTTGAAACCAAAATTTAAACCGAGCGGGGGTTTAAAGTTTTTTTTAAAAAAAAAAATTTTTACGAACATTTTTAAAATCCCCATGAAAGGGTTTCTTTTCAACCATCCTAATTGACCCTTTTTTAAATTTTCTTCGTATTTTTTGAACGAAATTTTTTTCTTTTTAACAACTTGATTTTTGATCATAGATGGAATATCAAAGAGTTTGAACGGCAATAGGACTTTGAATTTTTTTTATAAAACAAAAATAAATGAAAATGTTTAAAATTTGTTCATATTTGTATTTCAGCTGCGCACTAATTTTTTCTTTTTATTTTCATTCAAATTACTCCAAAAAATATTTATGTTATTTTTCTTTTATTTTAAAAAAATCTTTCTTTTGCCTGGATAATTATACAAAATATTTTTAATAGATATTGAATATTAAATACAAATCAACTTTTATCACCAAGAGGCTATCTCCATTTGTCCTTTAACATATAAGGCACTTTGTTTATAGTTTTAGTGACTTTTTCACAACAAAATTTAATAAAGGTAAAATTTCCTGTACTCTGTATAATAAACTTTTTATTTGAAATTTCTATTTAATTTCTTTAAAATCTTTTTTTTTATATTTTTGAATACTACTTGTTTATAAATTGGTTAATCATATAATCATATCTTATTTCGATTAACTTAAAAGTGTCCTTTATAAAATATTGTTATTTCTATACATTTTTTAAAAAAATTTGTAGACGTATTATTTGCCATCAGTGTTCTGTAAGGTATTTACAGGCCTTTGAAGAATAATTGTACACGTACCAATTTTAAAAATAATCGTTTGTATGATTTTAATATTGAATTTCTATAGAATATTTTAATAAAACTGTTCAGTGTCCTAGGATCATCGTAAAGTTTCATTCAAATAAACACAATTTACGTATGAGGGACATTACGAGGATGAGAGCAACCGAGTTAACAAATGTCAAAATGTGCATACCTATTGGCTGCAAAGCTAAATAAATGTGAATCCCAA